CCTCAAATAATCCACTAGTCTTCGTGCTAATCACATTATGATATAGCCTCTCCTCGTAATGGTGATAAATAACCGCCTCATTATGAAAATGACCGTGCGGCATTGTCTTTTCGCACGCCTCCCAATGCGGAGGTCCGGCTGGACGGCACCCACACCCAGTGATTAACGCACACACCCCATTGTCAGCTGCGTGCTGCGACTGTCACGTCACTGGAGGATAAGTGACGTCACTGGCGTGCGTTATCGCCCGCTAGCAAAGGATTACTTCAAAGTCTCAACCAGCAGAGTGGCTTAGATTTGACACGAAGCATTGTAGTCGTAGAATAGAACCAAACGGATGTTATCCTTATGTGTATCTCCTTTTTGGTAATTGTTCTTCCCGAGAAATGATCGGTGAACAGCTTTTACCATTCTGATTTTTGTTAGTGACATGACGCTCCTTGAGATGTATATGTGGTCTTTCTTTCTTAGTAAATAGATTTCTGACAAACAGAACATATGAAACTTTTTTTTACAAATACTGCATTGATAGCGCAGAAATGTTATTTGAAGTCATCCCAAAGCAGTTAAATGATAATAGAAACGTGATTTCTCAAGAAATGGGGTGTTGTGGGAAAATGGCAGGCTCAAGGTTGACACTTTGTCCATTTCACGGCGGAACATTTGGCACTTAGTTGACTTAACCCGCGCCCTGCTGGGGGGTGTTTGAACACCCCCCTTGTGGTTTTTCGCGAATATCTCAAAAACGGCGGCGCGGAGCGCCGCCGTTTTTGGTACACCTTATCATACATCAATTCTACACATGTTGTGAAAATTTCAGACCAAGGTCATTCAAGGTCAGGTCACCAGGTCACTTGAAGTGACCTCACCTCATAAAAAACTTTCAATGTCTGTCATAGCTACATCGAGTGACCGATCGCTTTACAACTGTCAGCGATTGCTAAGGGCAATAGCATGTACAAAATGTATATCTCAGAATTTTGATATCGATGACCTAAGGTCAGGTCAATTTTGCGACCTCCCCATTATAAGTCAATGGGAGAAAATTGAAATGAGCCTCTTTTGGATGAAATACATTATAAACACTCCCAAACACCGAATTACAAGTGTTTTAGACACACTGAACTTGAAAATGGTGTCCGTGACCCTTGTTTATGCCCTGAGGTCATCTCAGGTCACGAATGGTATCTAACAGTTTTTCGCAAATAACTTTTGATAGAGGCATTCTAGAGCGATGAAAACGCCTTAGATGTGTTCAGCTCGACGATACGGATCGACTGATATGCAACATGACCCTTTCCGGTCAGGTCATGACCTTGACCTGAGGTCAAATTTTCAAGTTGACCCTTCAAGGTCAAGTTATAGTTCATTCGATGCGTCTTGACGAGAGGAACACGATGGCGGTAAAAGTAAGCTCGTACAAGGCTTGGGTCAAAAGTTATTGCAGAAAAACTGTTTTCGAAAAAATCGGCTATTTTTGCAGTTTTTGCCCCCTGCAAGCAAAACCGTTGACGTTAGGTCAAATGTGAGAGAATTATTCAGAAAGGGCGTTAATAGGGCTATCGAATGCGCTTTTCCGCGGCGCTGTAGCGCTATTGGTTCCCGAGTTATGCGTTGGCTTCTTGGAAATTTTCGACATTCGACCTGGAAATCGGCGAAATTTTGCCTTCAATGACCTCTGGTGACCTGACCTTTGCCCTGATCAAAAATTGACCGAAGTGATTTCGTCATTATTTTTGACGCTCTTTCGAACGCCGCCTTCCGCGTATCGCTACGTGGCCCAGGAGCCGAGTTAGAAGGGGGGGTGTTCAAACACCCCCCCCCCCCAGCAGGGCGTGGAAATCCAGGACCCCCAGCAGGGCGCGGGTTAATTTGAAAGCTAAGAACAAGGCGATCGGCATGTTATTGGAAAGCTAGAAACCAACCTGCTAAGATTTATCAGGTACAAAAGGGATCAAAAGGATTAAATTGTCGTCCAATTTTCCTTGGTAAAAAGGGTTTTTCTAAACTTTGGAACTTTCGACATGTGTCATTCTGCAAAACAAAGGAACTTGACTATAGAAGCTTAAAATGCCAGTTTAAATACCTGTGAAATCGTAACGCCTGCATAGAACACATACAAAAAGGTCAAACACGATAACATGCTTCCAGTTTTACATAGAACCTTATTTGTGGATGGGTGTACTCGAATAGATAAGCTAGAAGTGCATCGAATACACAAATGAATTCAGAGGCCTCTTGCACCAAAATCCTCTTGCACCAATGCTTGGATTATTTTGCATCGTATACCCAGTCCAAGTCTCAAATGTAACAATTTGCGTGCAAAATTTAGCAAGCACATGTAAGATTATATATTGGGCTATTGCAAACAAATTTACCACCGTTAGATTAGCTTATTCTGAAACTGTTTTTCGATTTTACCTAGCTAGGTAGTTTGGTGCAAGAGGCCTCAGGTAAGATTTTGTTTGTTTTCTTTAAAAGTAACTTTTACAAACATTTTTTTTTTCGCTTGTTTCCCCGCACAAATATGGACGCTTTTAAGCAAATAACGATGTGCAGGAAACACACGTCAAGCACGCTTTGTTGCGAATAGTGCCCTACCTGATCTTTTTTTTCAATCGGGCAAAGTCGGGTCGAATTGGGAGACTGTACGCTGTGCACTGTGCAGTGTGCATGCGCGTGCAGGATGACAAAGCTGAGTGTGATCTATCAAAGTCGGAAATGGTCCATCCCGGTCATCTTTTTTATATTTGATGTTCATTGGTGGTCAAATCCATCCTGATAAAATTAGCACAAACACATACGATTCACACGCAATGCGGGGATAAAAAGGCGTTTTGTCACATTCCCTAACACGCAAACTTATTTTCGCCGACACCACGATAGAACCATTCGTATAGTGCAGAGCGTGAGCCATTCGTAACACAAATATTGCCCCATTTGTCAGGCTTCCTAGTTCCTGCACAGGGCATTATTACATACCATCTGACTGAAGAATGACCAAAAGTAGGAATTAGGAAACCACAATCAGTTCCAGAGTCGAAACGTGCCGAGCCGCGGCGGATCTCTTCTGTCTCCGGTTTTCCGTGCCCCCCTCACCAACGACTACTTGTGGCGAAATGGCGCCGTAGGGGGTGAGGGTAGCAGAATAGCCATCGCACCCCAAAGGCGGCACTCCCCACTCAGACTGGAAATGGCCGCGCCCGCCGCAGTCGCCGGAAGCGATGGCCGTTCGTTCCACGCCGCTGCGCCGCGAACGTCGCTGTGCGGCCATCGGCGGCGCACCGTGACGGCGCCTCGGCGGGGGTCGAGCTGCCGCCGCCGGCGGTGCCTCAGCGGGAGGACCAGGCTGCACGCGCCTCACCCAATATGGCCGCCGATTTGGTGAGGCACAACACAGAACGAGAATAAAACAATAGCACAAACCAAGGACGGGCACAAACAGGCTTGGTCATATGATTGTTTTGTTTGATGATCGAATTGTTTCGCTGCAATTCGAAGAACATCCCCCATTGTAAGCAACTAGATATTCATGGACTTATCATATATAATCATGCGCTATATTAAGCTTAATATAAAATTATGAAAAGATGTGAAAATATGCAGGATGCTGCTAGAAGAAAACAGCATGCCAGCTTGTCTCATGTCTCCCTGCTTGCCAGTCTGCATGTATTGTTGCCAGCCTGCCTAACATAAGTAAGCATCAGTTCCGCTTTTCAATGAAAGATAAATTCGTATGCATTAACATTACCTTCAAATAATGTGCCATAAATATCTTTTGTCTCTAGCATCGCGTCGGTCTCTTTAGATTGCCTCTAATGAGATAGATTATATATTAATTAGCATGTGATTGAAAAGCGCAGAACGTAATTAGATATACAAGCACGCCCAATCAGCACACATAGATGCAGATTAGGTGCATAATTTACGGTTTGCATGGCCCAGTCCAACATTATCAGCGTATCCCGGCCAGTCATCATCCTGAGCCTGGTTCGTGCACGACAGACATTTGTATCCGTCCCAATTACATACGGTAGTGCGGCGTTCTAGTCCAAACTCTGGCGCGATTTACAACAGTATCTCACAGTGTCGCGGAACTCATTCATTGGTCATATGAGAGACTGCCAGTACAGGTGTTTTAATTATAGTGATTGGGGTTAAAAAGTGGTGTTGGATTGCAGAGTTTGTTCGTCTTCGATGTAAGAGCACCTTGGCTTTGGTAAATATCTTCTGTGAGAAAAAATAACTATGTATGTCCTGGTTTCTACCCATAGGCGGCGGAACGGGGAGGGCACCGGGGCACCGTGCCCCCCTTTGATTTTGGCACTTTAAAGGGACCCTCCCACCTTAACATTAGATTTGAGTTGAGATAGCCAAAATGGGGTCCCTGGCTCACAATTACCGGTTTCGGCACTCACAACATCGAGAACTGCCTTAAATCGGAAATATTGAATTTCAAAATTGCAGCATTTTGATTCAGAGGGGCTAATGCATAGGAATACCCCTCTGAATGTGTGACGTCAGCGCAGATATCTAACGATTTTTAAATGTTTGACTAAAACGTTTCGTAGCACGCGGTGGTATATGCTGCTTTGCGCGCAACAAGTGCCGCACTTTCAGCTGTCAAACTATTGCTTCCAAATAAAGTCGCTAGGAACAGCGGAGATCCCTAAAAGTAAACAAAAGTAAAAGTCTAATATCTTGAAAACCGATGAATATTTTTCGGTGAAATTTGGTAGATATTCGTTTTCGCTATTTATGAACCGAGCGACATCAGTTTCATGCCAATTCATAAACTTTTTTGAAGGTGGGAGGGTCCCTTTAACATTAGCCCTATGGGCGTTGCATGGAAAGAATGGGACCAAAAGTCGACAGTGCCCCCCCCCCCCTTAATTGAAGGTGTTCCGCCGCTACTGTTTCTACCGTAGGTAATGTGCTCTGCATGACATCATGATTTCCACATGCATGTAAACACATAACATTAAACGTGAAAACAGACATATGGGTGTTTCATTTATTTTTAATAACAGCAAAATAGGTACTCTTGGGTAACAAAGCTCAAGCAAAAATATATATGACAACTCACAGCATATCATGTATATGAAAGTCACAGCACATAAAATGGCATAGAAAAGGTGCCCGATATTTCTATCTAAAGCGTTCATTTTGTCTGTCAAGACATATCATTAGTATGTTCTATGCCAATGAATATATTTGATAAGCTTTAGAAATATATTAAAAAGGGAATCCAAAAAAATCACATTCAACTATTTTCCAAGCATAAAAAACTACCGCATATCAAAATAATCTATTAAAATAAAGAGCCGTCCTGTGACATCATTAGATATGCATCAGCTCATCCTAATACTACGGCGCGCTTCCGTATCGAGACGAACGCTGGGTCACCCTGGCACTCGTCCTACGACCAACGCTCACTCGCGGGCCTCCTCACCGCCGGGCGTACCGCTCGACTCCGCCGAGTCCTGCGCGCCATCCCGCTCCTCCTGACGGTGGTGGTGACGCCGGTGCTGGTGACGGGTGGCGTCACCCTGGTGACGACGCTGGTGCCGACGCTGGTGACGAGCGCGGAAGGTGTCTAACTCGCCCGCCCGACCGCTGGAGTTGTCCGAAACGACGACCGGGGTGTCGGAGGATTCCTCTTCGCTAGAGGCAGATTCAAAGCTATGATTTTTACGATGAACCTTCCGAGGCCAGTAGGTGCCATCCTGGCTCAGACCACGCAGACGCCTTCCACCCTGGACCCTCTCAGGCCAGTAGGTGCCGTCCTGACTCAGACCAAGAAGACGCCTCTCACCCTGGGCCTTCTCAGGCCAGTAGGTGCCGTCCTGGCTCCGACCAAGAGGACGCCTCTCACCCTGGGCCTTCTCAGGCCAGTAGATGCCGTCCTGGCTCAGACCAAGAAGACGCCTCTCACCCTGGGCCTTCTCAGGCCAGTAGGTGCCGTCCTGGCTCAGACCAAGAGGGCGCCTTTCGCCCTGGGCCCTTTCAGGCCAGTAGGTGCCGTCCTGGCTCAGACCAAGAGGACGTCTTCCACCCTGGGCCCTCTCAGGCCAGTAGGTGCCGTCCTGACTCAGACCAAGAAGACGCCTCTCACCCTGGGCCTTCTCAGGCCAGTAAGTGCCGTCCTGACTCAGACCAAGAGGGCGCCTTTCGCCCTGGGCCCTCTCAGGCCAGTAGGTGCCGTCCTGGCTCAGACCAAGAGGGCGCCTTTCGCCCTGGGCCCTTTCAGGCCAGTAGGTGCCGTCCTGGCTCAGACCAAGAGGACGTCTTCCACCCTGGGCCCTCTCAGGCCAGTAAGTGCCGTCCTGGCTCAGACCAAGAGGGCGCCTTTCGCCCTGGGCCCTTTCAGGCCAGTAGGTGCCATCCTGGCTCAGACCAACAGGTCGTCGGACGGCTCCGGCAGTAACCGCGACGAAAAGAGCGAGACATGTCTGCAAACACAAATGTTTTGAGGTAAGACATAATGCAGCGTGCAAGCAGCGTTGTTGCGCGCTACAAATGGAGTCTAACGTCACACCATTCCGTGTCTTTTTATCATCTTTTCATTTGATATGCGCCTTGCTACTGGCAGTCAAGAAGGCTTTGACGAAGTTGCACGGAGTGCCTTTGCGACAATCAAAAGGGTATTGAATCGAAAGCTTATTTAAAAAAACCTATTGGCTCAAGAAGGCTTACGTCAGTCAATTGAACTTCCCTTGTTCACCTTTGATGTATTCAAAATATCATCAAAATGCTTATTGCAACATGCCTATTTTGCTGGAATGCTTAACTGCCTTCCATTGGAAAATAACACTTTCCTATCACTGAAATACCATTTCACGTAGGGCATACAGAGACGAATACTTCAACTCACCACTGTTCTCATGATGACTCTCTGGAGGCTGCTCGGTCGTGTCTTCACACCGCACACCGATGTTCTGATGCCGTTCCACCCCTGTCGAGCCATTTTATCACGGACCTACTACCGTCATATCCGCCCTATCGCCTCTGAGCCACCACCTGAACTTTGCTCCCTGGTGACATATGCCCATCGTCCATCGAGGAGCATCGCGAGACAAAACAGACACACGTGACGTCACAGGATAGTGACGTGACCAAGTGGAGTTCCGGTCTGTGAATGCGCTTCAGCCGGCCGGACGAGCGGATGTGATGTGATCTCATGAGGCGGGTAAGGAGGGGAGGTGATGTGATCTCAGGGGCGGGGAGGTGATGTGTGTGCGATTCCACTCCACGTCGAGTAGACGCTGTTTGTTATGGTGCGCGCTATTCGTCGAACGGCGCGTCAGTGATCGGTCGGCTGTGGATCATATCCGTACAGGTGTCGCTGAATCGACTGACCGGTGTTCCGCGGAAAGAGCGGTCCGTTGTTACTCAGAACGCCTCGCACTCAGCGGAAATGGTGATTCACCAAAATTGCAGTAGCATAAAAAGACATTCTAGAGGTCAAGAAATTGATGACCATCGTATTATTACACATACCGTAGTACAGTGGGTCTATTTAAGATCTCCAGAGCCACCATGTGGCGCTACGGTCGGGGTAGGGCGAGTCCAAATCCCGAGGGAAGTGAGGTCACCGGTCATTGTGGGGGAAGGAGGGAGGGGGAGTGACGCGGTATCACGGCGCATTGGGGCGTGCGTAGCGCCGGGAGTGGGCCGCCCAGGGCCGCCCGCCACTGCGCCGAGGCTGAGGGGAGGGGATGATGGTTGCGGGTGCGTTCACTGCGGTATTGTGGTATCCTGTTCATGTGGAACCAGCAAGAATGCGACTGAAGGGAATCATCTCAAACAAACAGACAAGCGAGAGGCAGCGCCAGTTCCAGCCAAAATCTTGAACAATGATAATTGAAATCTAGGACGTATTAATAGCATGCAACTATTCAGCAAATAGTTGCATGATGACAGTCTTAGGCTTTTCTAAAATGTTATTTGAGTTGGGTATTTTTTTTTTTCATTTGGCACGTTCAGTTTTGATGAGTTTTATCGGGTCGAATAGAATCCGAAAAGAAAGAGTTAAAATGGCTCCGGAAAATGACCAAAAAAATATTTTCTTTAAAAATGAAACTTAGCTAGACATTTATAAGCGATAATTTTGACTTTTTTAGAGGATTTTGGGGAAGGATGTTGGCGAAAGATGTCATCGTGCTTGCCTGTGTTGCAGTAGAAGCAAAGGTTTTGGTTCGTGTCCAGATAAAACCAGACCCGGGAGTGGGGCTCGAACTCACGACATCGCGTTCAGCTCACAGGTTACCCAACCTAAACGCTACGAGCACCTATCACCCCGCGCAGCTTGCTCAGTACTACGGCTATAGTTAGGTCAAAGTGTCTGACGTCTGTCATTGTCACGAGGCGAAGCCCCTAGGTAAATGTCCGTCCCGGTAGCTCGGTCGGTAGGGCGTTGGACTCGGTGTGGTGAGAGCGCACGTCCTGGTTGCAAAAGTCCGGGTTCGAAACGCGACGTGTGCTTGACGTTTTTGAGCTCCTGACGGGTATGATTGTGGTTGGTGGCAGGCTGCTGCCAGGCGAAGTCAGTGAGGGGATCGGCCGTGCGCGGCTATGTGCGCACGTTAAACTTTGGACTCTAAATTCTGCCATAGACCAGGAACTGCTTGATCGGAGGGTAGAGGGTAGGGTCAACGCAACAAGCCCAGCTTAGCGGGGACTCTTTCCTTATGATTCCTTTCATTCAAAAGGTTCGGGCCAAATTTATATTAAAAAAGGGGGAGCCGAACCATGTTGGGTCGGGTTGAAGCCGGTTGGACCTGTGTCTTACACGCAATCATGGTCAGAGAAAACAGAGGCCAATTTCGGGTCAAATATTTTTATTAACTGATCTTATTGTTCTTTAGCTTACACGTATAATAACTTTAAGCTTTTTTTTTAATCGAGACTTTATGCACAAAAATGTGGCATTCGTCCGCTTTTCCTCATCTCCTGTCACCGACTTGATTTGACCTTAAATCTTACCAGCAAAAAATAAATCACCTGCGTGATAATTATTTGCCCAAGGGCGCTCTACGCAAGAAACGCCAGCCGGTCAAAAAAATTGGCGAACGATACGATATTTCTAGTGCTTGAATTATATTCAATGAAAATTTCAGGAGACAAATAATCTTAATCCTTCGGGCGCTCGGAGCATTCGCTAGCATTCCATTGCCAGCTGCATTACCAACATCATATTTGCATTACTTTGGGTTCATCATAGTTGACCGTAGATGAACCGGCCACAGCAAACCCATGCCTCATTATCCTTTCCTCCAAGCAGCCAAGCTAACCGGCCGCCCGGCCCACCACCGCGATATGGAACATTGGAACAACACTGGAGGTGGAGTGCGCCATTTGCCTGCGGCAGTGCCCCACCGCGCCGGGGCTGTTTGACAGGTCACCCGCACCGTGACCTCGCCAACCGCCCCCCTCCGCCCACCTCCCCATCGGGCCCAGCTCGGTACTGACCTCCCCTTGAATTTGACATGGACTCGACTGAGGCTCAACGCCATCTAGTAACGTCTGGAGATCCTTACTAGATCCACTGTACATATCGTACAATTAGTAAATTCCTGTCGGGCCTGTATTCAATTAAATGGCCAATAATATGCTGGGATGTTTGGCGCACATTGTTCGTGGCATGACCTTAAAGGGACCCTCCCACCTTAACATTAGATTTGAGTTGAGATAGCCAAAATAGGGTCCCTGGCTCACAATTACCGGTTTCGGCACTCACAACATCGAGAAATGCCTTAAATCGGAAATATTGAATTTCAAAATTGCAGCATTTTGATTCAGAGGGGCTAATTCATAGGAATACTCCTCTGAATGTGTGACGTCAGCGCAGATATCTAACGATTTTTAAATGTTTGACTAAAACGTTTTGTAGCACGCGGTGGTATATGCTGCTTTGCGCGCAACAAGTGCCGCACTTTCAGCTGCCAAACTATTGCTTCCAATCCAAATAAAGTCGCTAGGAACAGCGGAGATCCCAAAAAGTAAACAAAAGTAAAAGTCTAATATCTTGAAAACCGGTGAATATTTTTCGGTGAAATTTGGTAGATATTCGTTTTCGCTCTTTCTGAACCGAGCGACATCACTTTCATGCCAATTCATAAACTTTTTTGAAGGTGGAAGGGTCCCTTTAAACACAACAAAAAGTGTTAAAATTATCCCAATCCTTAAAACACGATTAAATAAAAGAGCTATCGGGCGCATCAAGGAATTACGACTGTTCATAGCCCTCACTCTTTCTCTCCTTTCACTGTGAATATTTCATAACAACAAAACGGTACGGAGAGCCATTCACATCGCGGGCTGAATGAGGCCATCGCGGCATTGTGTTTGACATGGAGGCGCCGACTGCCGATGTCTGACAATGCGCCATCGCCCAGTACTTTGTCGTCACCCGCCTGACACTACACTACCATCTTCGTGCACTTGGAATGCCAGAGGTGTCAGCCGGGTCAAGACCCCATTTGTTCTGCCTTGTTGTTACGGATTATCGCTATTGTCTGCAGCGGATCGAGGACGGGGCTTCTAGGTGGTGATTACAGCCTTTAGCCAGAGCCGTACACTGATTTTTATATCGCATTGACTGGAGGGCCTTGCAGTGCTGCATGGCTGGCTATGAACGGTACGACATTGTTCTTTCAGCAATAGGGAATGCCAGACATGCCTTGCCACACAAGCATACGTTCCCAGGTGCAGTATTGTTCAGATAAATGGAATGTTTGGGGAGTAGAAATTAAATTAGCTTAATATCTTTTGATTTATCTTGTCTCGAAAGAAGTTGGCTGATAAATGCATTCAGCATTGTTTAAAATCTAAAAAATGTGCAGGATAAAAGGGTTCAAAATGAAAATGCTACCACGTGTTAAAATTTTAAAGCTCATCCCATTTTGTGCTGAACAACATGGAGTAATAAAAAGAAGACAAATATGAATTTAAAGTTTAGCTTTATGTTTCCTCAGACTACCTGTCAGCCGATTCTTTCTTTTTTGCTCTGCTCCTTAGAACAATGCTCCTTAAAATTATAATTTTTTCCTTCCGAAAATTTCTAAATTTGTCGTAAAACTTGTCTACGTTAGCCGTTTTCTAAAACGACGGACGACGGGCTATCCGGGCTATCCGGACGACGGACGACGGACGACGGACGACGCACGACGGGCTATCCGGCGAATGCGCCTAATTTGGCCAAATCTGCATCTATTCTCTTTTACAGCAAATATCTTCATTTTTGAATTTATTTCAGTGTTTTAATCGCTGGTATTGTCTGATTATATGACGAAGCAGGTATATAATCATTTAGTGCAACCCTAGCTGATAGCTACTAAGAGACACACTTAACCTACACGGAAAAAAATATTTACTCCGCGAGAGATTTACATACACCTTTTTTTGAAAACTCCTTTTGATGGTGTTCATATACCATTCATTTTGGAGTATTTCATGGCGAGGAAGAGTAATAAAAGTACCTCACTTTATCTGTCGGAGTAAAGGAAAGAGATTGGGATTTCATTTACTCCCCATGCATAACCGCTCGGAGTATACAAACCCGGTCGGAGTTTTGTTACTCTGCTGTGACAGTTCGAATAAGCATGGAAGTACGCAATGCAGAGTAATTCACCGCAAAGGGAGTTAACGAAGAACCGAGAGAACAGTCAAAAGAAAAGAAGAGTAACTGAACTCCGAAAAAAGACCTGAAACTCCTCTTGAAAGAGTTTTGCCGCCATCGCGGCGCTGATGCACGTGCGTTATTCGACGCCATTTTCAAGGCAGCAGTCGGTTGGCAGTTGCGCCATACAGTGAACATGCCGGTGGTGGTGTCAGTGGACTGTCAGTGGGTTGTGAGAGTTTTCGGCGGAGAGTGGTGCAGGAAAAGGTGGGAGTGGTGACGATACGCTCGGAGACGACGCTCTCGCAGCAGCAACTATCATCTCACTGCATATAACTGACAGGATCTTCGAGCTCACAATTCAGGCAAGTCCCTTCTCGCTGCGACTTT